AGTCAGGAAGGGGCTATACCATGCAGAACCATAGGAGTGGAGCTGCCCCAGACTATGGGAACCCACCTCTTGCATCAGCGTGACCTGGATGCGAGACTTGGAGTCAAAGGAGATCACTTTGGAGCTTTAGAATTTGACTGTCCCACTGGATTTCTGACTTGCATGGGCTCTGTAACCCCTTTGTTTTGGCCACGTTTTCCTTTTCAGAAAGGCTATATTTTCCCAGTACGTGTACCCTAATTGTGTCTAGGTAATAACTAGCTTGTTTTTTATTTTACAGGCTCATAGGCAGAAGGGACTTGCCTCATCTCTGATAAGACTTTAAACTGTGGAAGTTTGGGTTAATGCTGAAATGAGTTAAGACTTTTGGGGGCTATTGGGAAGGCATGAATTGTTTTGAAATGTTAGGACATGAAGTCTGGAGGGGCCAGGGTGAAATGATATGGGTTGGCTCTGCGTCCTCACCAAACTCTCATCTCGAATTGTACTCCCACAAATCCCACCTGTTGCAGGAGGGATCCAATGAGAGACAATTTGAATCTTGGGACTGGTTTCTCCCATAATGCTCTTGTGTTAGTAAATAAGCCTCAAGAGATCTGATGGTTTTTTTCAGGGGTTTCTGCTTTTGCATTTGCTCATTTATTCTCTTGCTGCTGCCATGTAAAAAGTGCCTTTCACCTCCCGCCATGATTGTGACGCCTCCCCTGCCATATGGAACTATAAGTCCAATTAAACCTCTTTTTCTTCCAAGTCTTAGGTACGTTTTTATCAGCAGTGTGAAAAGGAACTAATACAACATCCTATTCAAATGTCTTTGCACTATAAGATTAGTTCTGCATTCAAGATTCCTAGGTGTGATTTTATTGGAGGTGCAGGGTAACCATTCTTTTATTTTTAATAGATTTCATCAGATTGTTTTTCCGGACATCTACACAACATACATTTCTACTGGTGAAGTAAGAAAGCACAATACTTTTCTATATATTTCAAGGTTTGTGTGTTATTGCAACTTTTGTTATTGTTGCTGGTCTGAAGCTAAAAATGTGTACCTTATTTATATTTTAATGTTAATTTATCTGATAAATAGTGAGTTTTAACATTTTCTGTATAATAATTATTTATACTTTGTTTTGCTCTTCTGTAGGTTTATACAATTCTTTTCACCATTTTTGTTTTTATCTTTTATTTATTTTTCATTTATAGTATTTTACTATGGATTGTAAGTAATAATATTTTGCCACTTTCATTGCAATTAATTTACTTTCCGATTTATGATGCATCTAGTCATTTAGTTTATAATGTCCTTTGTCATGTTTTAATTACATAAGAATAAATATTAATTTGTTATACTTTTATGCCATCTTGGTTATGTTCTTGTCCACTGTGCTTATCAGTATATTTGACTATAGTTTCTTCTATAATTTTAAATCTTCAGCCTTCAAACATTTATGTATGTAGTATAATTGCATTTTATTTTGTTTAAGGTGTAAGATAGAGTGCAAGGTTTATTTGCTTCTAGAATTACAAATAATTATGGCAGCATCAACTTTAGTAAATCACATTTTTACTAAATTGAAATATATTTGTATGTTAAATTCTCATATTAATTTGGTTCTATTACTGCCTTCTCTACATTTTATCTCATATATACATCTATTTATTTTTTTCTGTGCATCTTACTATTTCTCTTTCATAAAGTCTCAATTATTAATTCATTTTATAATATTTGATTTTTACCATCACCATCCCCAAATACCAATCCTGGCAGAATATTAGTTGAAATAAACTTAAATATGTAGTTGGAAGTTAAAGAATTTCTGTTTTATGGCATTAAGATTTTATTCATAAATGTGTTCTATATCAGCATTTGGTCTTACCTGGATGTATGGCTTTCAGTTACTACAATTTTATGTGTATACAACCTATGTGGTTCTTTTAACTGTTTACAAAGTAGTTTATATTTTTTGTTGCTATTATTTTTAGAATAATTTTTACATTTCAATCTTAAGTGTTTAGTGCTTATAAGAACAGCTTAATGTTTTAGCATTATTTCATATTCAGTCACAGTAGTGAATAATAGAAGATTCCTTAGTCCCCCAGAGTATTTTCGGCTTCTTCAAACTGCAGTATGTTCTCACCAGGTTGAGAATGTCATTTTTTTCTCAAACATTTTATTTACTCTACATATTTACAACTATTATATATTTAAGTCTTATATGTTTATAGTTTTTTACTTTATCATGCAAATATTTTATTTTATTTTTCATTGCATTCTCTACAAAAATAATGATGATAATACCAAAAAAATTCTGATCTAGCTCTCGGTTTTCTTTAAAGTAAATTTAGTATTTTATAGCTTCAAATGATGTTTGCAGGCATATTCATTTATTTGCTATCATTATTTTATTTTGAAATAGCATGCATGTATGTTAAACAAATAAGGTTAACTTCCCAGCAATTTCCCTATTTGTAAATGTAAGATAGAGCTCAGTGATGGAATAATGTTATTCTAGTATATTTCTCATGGTTAGAATTCAAATGAAATTTTCCATTTTTTTCTATTGTGTTTTTCTATCATTTATGTATAAATGTTGGTATTTTTAGTTCATTAGTAAATTATTCAGTTACTATAAATTTAAAATTTGTTATTATAGTATTGCATTTTTATTCTAACTTTTATCTGTAGTTATATCTGTTTTAATTTCCCTTAACAACTTATTTCCATTCTCTTTTTTGCTTCTTTAGTCTCACAAAGCCTTTAAATGACACTTTCACACTTAGAAAAGACTGGTTTTATTTATCTTTGCTCTTTTCCTATTTTATTCAATTTTCGCTCTTATCTTTGTGAATTTCCACTTTCTACTTGTAAACTAACAGGAATTATTTTTTGGATACTTCACTATTTTCTTTAACTTGATAAGAAAGATAAGGCATTTATTATTTGTTTTTAATTTTATTAGGTAATAATCACAATTTGACTTTTAAAATGCTTATGGTTCAAAAACTTTAGCATATCTCATAGATAATTATATATAGAAATACATGTAAAAGTGGAGGTATATATATGCATATACAGGTGTGTTCTGGAATTTTTAAATTATGTTGTTAATTTTTTGTTTATAATATCCCCCTGAATTCATTGGTTATAATAAATGTTCCAATATAATAATCTCTTCCATTCTTCAAAAAAGGCAAATTTTAATAACAAATATTACATGCCCTGTTTCAGCTATTCTGGAACATCAATAAATGCATAAAATATTGAAATAGTTCTCCTCACCTTTCTAATAGTTTTTGCTTCATTGACTGTGTTATTTGTTCCAGGCAGAATTAGGATTGTCATATATTCTTAAATTGTGCCTTCCATTATTACATAATGTGTCCCTTTGATGACATAGATTCTTTAAATATTAAATGCTATGTGGTCTCATAATTAAGTCTTACTTACAGTTTGCATTTTCTTTATATACCTATGTCTTTATTTGAACCTTTCTTTATCATGTTGTTTCATACATTTCTTATATATATAATGTTGTTTCATATGTTTCATATATACATCTGTATTTTGTCTGACTTTTACATGTTTTCAATGAAGCATATTATATATAAAGTAGTATATGCAATGTATGCATAGAGTTTTAACAACATAACAGGCACTCAACCTGAGAGGCAGAATATCACTTACAAAATCTATGTTCTCCATTGACCTGCCCTCCATGGTCTTTATCTCCCTCCCTTCCCCCAAAGGGAATCTCTTTCACTAATTTCATCAACCTTCAGTTTCATTAACTTTTTAAAGCAATTCACATGTGTTTCACCAATAATAAATTGTTTATATATTCTTGATTTATTTATAAAAATGTCCTTACAATTTTTTGTGCCTTTAAACTATTGTGATACTTCGTGTTTTTAAGGTTTATCTATGTAAAACAAGTCATTCATATTTTCTGATGTTGTTGGAATCCTTTTTGCAGTATGACACTATTAGAAACATTTTAGGGCAAGTGTTCTGGGAAATAAAGAGATTCTACTTGGAATGAAATTGTTGAGTGTTAAGTTACAAATATTCAATCTAAATTAATTACATTAATCATTTTCTATGCTCTATAACAAAACAACATTCAGAATTATTAAACAAATTTAAACTTCTATCAGGAGTGTATGTATATTTTATTGCCATATGTATTTCAAGCATTAATTTTTGTAAATGTAAAGCATCATTTTTTATGGTTCTCGATCCTTTGGAATTTGTTATGATTTGACTTATTATCTTATAGTTTTAAAAATTCTTGTTCATATTCTATGTATGCCAGGAAACAGTGTGTATTCTTTTCTTTCTCTTTAGTGTGTAGTCTCCCTTTATTCTTGAGTAGGAATACCATATATTAGTTGAACTCATTGCAAGCCAGAATACTAGGTACATTTTCTTGTGTTCCTTGAACTCATACATAACCATAGATTTATAGAAACTAAAAACAGATAAAAATAACTGAGTACTATTGGTGGCACAATGGAGTCACTATGGCATTTTTGGACTATGCATCTCTTAATGTTTTCCACATGAAAGAGAAATAAACTTTTATTTTGTTTAAACTGCTATCATCATATTTTCCTCTCATACACAGCTACTAATGAATTAAGGATATTAAATATGAAATTAAAATATTTAAATCAAATTCATTTTGCTTATAATTTGAATGAAAGGATAAAGCAGACAGCTCATAGTTAATATGAGCAAACTCAAATGTACTTCAGTAGGTATAGAAAGCCAAAGGCAAATTGCATAATTACAGAAAAGGGATATATCTGTTAAGCAATTTAGGGTTACAGACAACAGTTCAGTAGTATGTGATTTATATCAATGTCTGTTTGGGTTGCATTAATGGAAGTTTCATGTCAAGAGTGTTGTCAAGTGAAGTCATAATTTGCCTTTACCCTGGTCATCAGTCACTACTTAGTGCATAATGTGTAGCTTCAAGCTCCACATTTCAATGGGAATATGAACATATTATAGAATGTTCGGAGGAGATCTGCCAGAAATGTACAGGGATTCGAATGATATCTCTCTTGGGATATTTGAAGATTATTAATGGTAAGAGAGCATTAATGAGTTATTTAGGCTCAGTGTATTAGACACTAATGGTTTAGAATTAAAACCAATTGTTAATAGTTTCAAATACATTAGGTTGAATTTAACATAAAGAGGGACTATGCAGTGGTTAGGACTAAACAGAGATAAAATTAATTTCCACAGGACGTATTGTGTTTCCTGTTCACTGATGATGACTTAGGCCAGATAACCACATGGTGGAGATGTTGTAGAGGGAATTCAAACATCAGATACCTTTTGGAATAGAGGACATTTAGGGTTACTTCCAAATTCTAGAATCTATGAATTTATGGGACAAATATATAAGGGAAAAAAGTCTAAAATTTATAATCAATGTAGTGTTTATACTACTGGAACTAAAAATTTTATCCCTTTGCTTAATTGCATTAGTCATTTTCTATACCAACTATACTTGATGGAGAAACTTTTTATTATGCTGAACACTGGATTAATTTTTTAAATTATATGTGCCTCTACATTATACGTACCTGGCATAAAAAATCAGCATAAGGAGAGAGTGCTTTCATTTTACAAATGTATAAAAATACATAAGGCTAAAATGGTATTGAAGATAAATATTACAGAGAGAACACAATAACCCAAAAATGGGTCAGCACAAACTATCCAATTGATTAGATGCTTGCAGAAAACCACAGCAAATGGCAAAATCAATTCACCAATCAGCTTTGCAGTGTTTTCTTCTAAACTCAGCCAGCTGGGCAATTAGGCTTATATTTGGTGTTTTTATGTCTTTCACTGAAGAAAGCATCATTTTCCTTTGGAAGCAGATGGTTTGGAACTATAGATTGGTCAAAGTTCAGTAAGGTTGCTCTACTACAAACAGAGTAAATTGATGTGGCAGAATACACTAGTTTGAATCTTTAGAGGACTCAAAACTGAAAGAGAACACTTTGTGAATTGATATTTGGTTATAGGTTTTCGTAAGCTAAGAAATTACTCAATTATATTTTAATGCAGTGATTCTCCATTGTTATTTATACAATGTTCCACTCAATTTACTTTTTTGTGGGTTAATATCTTATGGCTTATCTCAAGGAGTAGAATTTCAAATGATTATTGTTTTAGGTTTTTTTGAAGTAAAAGAAATAAATGAGAGTTCATACAATGTTTTGGAAAATCAGCCTTCAAAACAAATTAGTTCTGAGGTCAAATTCAGTTGTTTGAACTAAATTATCCAGCAATCAGTGTTTCCAGATGAATGTTTAAAAAAGATAAGGATCACACCATTTTAGAACGCAGAGTGAAATTAGATATCATTTATTCCAATTCCTGTCTACAAATGCAGGATCTCCTGCCTGAGATTTCAAAACTTACTTGCAGCAGCATCATGTCTAGAAACCAAAATCTCACCAGTTTCTCAGGTGATGCTGTAATCTTGTCCAATTTCATATCCCACATAGCATTAAGGTATTAATTTCATGATGAGGCGTAGGAATAGTTCATCAGAACCATAGTTGATTGAAAAAAAAGGTACACCAACTAATTGAACTTCCATTATGCCATGAAAAAGAATTTCTCATGATCTTGCTATCAATTGTTCTTGGTTACTAGTCTGAGTAAATATCATTTTAATGCTTGATAACTTTCTAGTAAACTGATCCTCAAAGATTAATCAAAGCCTTCTCTTTATTAGATATTTTTAGATATTAGATATTATTGGTGAATTTATCTAGCATGCTGCTGTCAACATTTAATTTTGAGAGTCATTACAAGGTATACTTTATAGGAATGTAGAAACAAAACAGTAGAAATTACTGGTTTGCTTGCTTTTAACATACTTGAGTTCTGAGTCTGATCTATATTTGTATGACAATAGCCCACGTATATAACAAAAATTCAACTCATGGTGGATTAATGAAGGATTCAGTGAATGAAAAGATATTCAGTAAGTAGTACAGAAAAATTATTATTCAAAACCAGCAATTTTTTAGTAACAAGTATAATTCAATCACAGCTGATATTTTTTTGCAAAAATTTGTGCTTCATTGTATAAAAAGCTCACAAAAACAATGCTAACTACCAAGTCAGTAGAGGTATTAGCACATACAATAACTTCTTAAGACGTCATTGAAATTAAGAAGAATTCCAAAGACTCAACAAAAAAAAGTAGGTCCTAATACTCACTTAACAAAATAGCCTGCCTGACCCTCATTGAAAATAGCACATTTAAAATTAAAACATGGTAACTCCTTAAAGGCATAAATGATAAATTCCAAATAGACTAAATGTTTAGAATGAAATGAAACCATAAGTGTTTTAGATTCATCCATGGGGAAATTATTGTATTAACTCAGATTGAGATAGGGTTTTCAAAACATAATACAAAATTTAGAGTCATAAACTGAGAGATTGATATAGTTGACTATATTTAAACAGACAAAGAAAGAAAAAACAAAAGTCTTTTGAGTAATAGAAAAATAATCACAAGATAAGTGAAAATTGGGATTGGGAAGAATTGTATAAATGAGGACTGAACTCCAAACACTGCTCTTGGTACAGGAGCTAAATGTGTTAGTTGTGGGATAATAATAATTACCATTTCTTATAGTTTTATATTTGATCATATACTGTAGAATATATAATATTTTATTATGTATTATGCAATAAATATACAAACATTATAGTTATAGTTATTATTATGAATGTATATAAAACTAGAAGAATAAATCAAGAAACAACTAATGAATTTTGCTGAATTTTATAGTATGGGGACTGAGATTGATGGCATTTAAAAAATAATGTATAATATTTAATCCATGGACTTATTTTGTTTGTATATTTGTTGTTCGTTACTGATAAATTTATTAGTATTCAGAATTGCACATTTTTATTGAAATTATAGTTAAAGCAAAATTATAGTTACTCATGTGCAGTATTTTCTATGAGTTTCAAAAATCTTTACACGCTGTAGAATTAGATGGGAATTTTATAGAGTTTTGTAAACTTGCTTGGATTGTTAACAGATTGGGAAATAGAGCAATTTAAGAGCTGAAGTTGTGGAAACATAACTATTTACTCACCATAGAAGAATATTAAGATAGAGTTTATTTCATAGTAAGGACTTAAGGAATCTCAGACTATAAGTAAATAAGCCCTAAATAGAAATTCTAGAAAATATTTATTACTGTTAATAAGGACATTTTCCCCTCCTTATCTTGGTATTTGCCTAATTTTCCAAATCAAGGACCCACAATAAAATCATATCTTGATACCAAAATTCTTTCTACTTTTAAGTTGTATCTATAAAATGTATAGATATATACATATAATTTCATGTAACTAATTATAAGATCAGAAAATGTTTTCTTACATAATGTTAAAAACTGATTGCAAAATTATTTTTAATCAATAGACATCTGATTATGTATACTGAAAAACTAATAGGAAAATAGAGTTCACTCCATGGTAGTCTTTAAAAAAAAATTAGGAAAATAGTGATCAATGAAGTCTTTGGTTAACAACTTATTTCACCTGCGATATATATTGCTGTATTTTTCTCAAATCTTATTTTTCTTTTTATATTTTTTCTATTATGGACAGAGTATAATTTTTTTTGCTCAATTGATGTTGCCCTGAGGTATATGGCAGGTTTGTCTAGAGGAATGTTATCAGGCATATGTAAACAGAGGCTTGGAACTGGCTTACACAGTTGAACTGGCCCTCTTGCTTTTCTCTCACTGACATGATGAGAAGAACATCCTTCATTTAGCAGAGTAGGCTAAGAAGTATGAGAGACAAACATAGAAGGCATGGATTACAACTTCAGCTTGGAGTCAAGCCCAACCAACACCACCTAAATTAGCTGAGTCCAAGCTGACCCACAGATGCATGGATAAATTTATTCAATTCATGGAAGAATGAATTACTCTTGCTTTAAGTCACTGAGTTTTGAGAAGGTTTGTTATGCAACTGTATTGTAGCACCAGCCACTGGTATATTCCATTTTATTTGGCAATACCTAATTAATACATTGAATTTTAGAAGTTTGTGTGGATTTATGTAAAAAGTAACTCATTAAATATCATGCAATTTGGCAATTATCCTCCATGCATTTAATGCTTTATGAAGGGTTTGTCAGTGATAGCTCCTAGATTCAGAGTAAAAGTTTCTAGGAACAAACTAACAGTTGTTATCGATTTCTGTGCCCTGGACATAAAACCACATTTGTTTAAATCCGTATGTCTGTTATCTAGATAAGTATTTAAAATGTTGTGAATAATCAGTATAAGTGTATTGACTAAGTAAATAAAATAATAAATAAATGAAGGAGTAGCACATCAAATGGACGAAATTTCCTGGTGGCTGCAAATTAATTGCTTTTCCCTGCATCAAGATATGCAGTTAATTTTCCTTCCCTTTGTGTATGTGATAAATCTGTGATTCATTTGACCAATAGAATATTGCAGAAATGATAATGGGTACATTCTGAGGCTGAGATATAGTAAATTACAACTTTAATTTTTGCATACATAGATTGCTCTCTCGGAAACCACCACATTACAAGAAGCTGAAGACCCGAAAGAGGCCATATGAAGGAACTGAAGTATCTGCTGAATAGTCCTAGCTGCAGTACCAACTAACTCAATCAACTAGTTGCAGCACCAGCTACCTACCAGCTGTGTGGGTGAGTCATCTGGGATCTTTCAGTCCAAAGGAGCTTCTGTATGACTGCAGCTCCTGTTGACACCACATGGAGCAGAACTGCCCACATGAGCCCAACTGATACACAGATTTTTAAGAGACACTGCATAGTTATCATTTTAAACCACTTGATTGTGGGGCTGTTCATTATGAAGCAAGACATAACTGAAGTCCTGATGAACAAACTAATTCTAGGCTTTGCATTATTTCTTGTATATTCCTGTATGTCCCTGTGGAAATATTGAAAGCTGAGATTTAGCTCTTTCCTCAGGCTATTACTGCAAGAGTATACTTTCATATTTTCCTTGGAGTCTATAAAGAATTTTGAAGAGCACTTTCTTTAAAGTTATCAGATTTGTATTTACTGAACCAATATGATCTGCAACCACCTTAAAATTCACACCATGACTTTAAGTCTCCACAGTATTCCTAAATATGTTAGCTAAGAAGCAGCATTTAGAAATCAGGAAAATTCACATTAAAATTTATATTTTTAGCTTGTTTTAATAAATATAAATTTTTACAACACTAGATTTGTATTTTTGTGCAACTCTTTTAATATGCACTAGATTTACATTTATGCATGAAGCTGATTAGAAGCAACCTTATTTATATGGGCATCATTTTGCAATTCAGCAAAGTCTTCACCAGTTCTGCTTCCCATATACATCAGAACTCTTGGTTATAAAAGTGAGAAATTCCAGTATAAACTTTAACAAAAGGGTTTTTTTTTTTTTGTCTGTCTGTTTGTCTTGAGCAATTGAAAAGTTCTATGGTCATATCTAACTCAATTCTGAGACCAGCCGCATCCATTTCTCTCAATTCCTTGGCTCCTCTTTTCTCTAGTATGTTTAATTCTCAGGTCCTAGTGTGGCCCCTGGAACCTCAAGGTTCACCTCTTCTAAATCAAAAGAGCAATCCTCTTACTATAGCTCCAGTAAAAGACTCACCATTTCACTCCTACTGTGATTGGGTCATGGGCTCATAGCTGAACTATAGCCAGAAATTTCATGTTTGTATTGACCAGGCTTCAGGAAAAAGAGTGGAAGTCTTCACTAGAACAAGGGAAGTAGATGCCAGGAAATATCAACAGAAATCTACTCCACAAAGCTTGTAAACTTCAGTGAAAACGGTATCTGGTCTACTTAACTCTATCAAGCAGGTGAGGGAGTATATTTATCTACTATCTTAAAACTATCATTCCTGTGGATATATCCAGTCATTTCATTCAAAGACATTTAATTTTAACAAAACACTCTTATGGTGTTTTTATTTTTTTTAAATAAAGTTTCTTAATAGATAGCCAAGTAGGTTTTTTAACCAGAGGATTTCAGTCGTAACCACTATACCTTTTCGATGGATTTGTTCTCCTGTCCTGCCATCTCTGAAAAAGTGGTTCACTAATCTTAAGTTCCACTAAGGCTTTAATTTTGGTTCAAGATGAACCATTCTAGTTCAATTGAAGCAGTAGTTTTTGTTAAGTTGCTAGTTCCCACTCTCTGTTAGAAGTAGAACCATGAATAACCTCATCTAATATTCCAAACTGCTGTTTAATTCTTGATCTTCATATTTCTCTCTACTCTTGGTTCTTTTTTTCCATGGTTACCTGAAAGGATTTTTCTTTGTCCTTTCTTATAATTTCTTCCCATGTTTTGCAATTATCTTCTGATTTAGTAAGATAACTTGGTATCAGTATTGACTCATTGTTTAAGCGAGGACAATCCAGCCTCTGGAAACATAGGTTTTCAGTGCAGATGGCATAAGATTAATTTATCATCCCAGACATACCACATGGTAATCACACACCATGATGTATGTGATGGTCCTGCCATCTGAATTAGAATTCTGGTTTTCTATTAGGTACATCATTCTCTACCAGGCAGAAGATGCAAGAATAGTATTTCTTTTTTCTTTTATTACTTATTAAATGTTTAGATTATTTCATAATTAGTTTTATTAAAACAGAGGGGAGAAAACTATCTGAAAATTTTAAGTTTAGAGTTCCCAGAGGTCCTTAAATGTAGGTTGGTTTAAATGGTTTATGAAGAAATTTAGTGAAATCTTGCCCACATATTGCAACTGTGAAAGAGCAGGTAGCTAAGTTCACAGTCAACTGAACAAAAATGAGGATTTCAAAGGATCTGAGGACTTTCCAGATGGGAGTGTTGTCATGGGATAAGTGAATCGATATTGGAGATGAATCTCATTTTAGCTACTGCAAACCTGCTGAACCATTTCCTGAGATATTGTATAAAGCAATTGAAGATGGCGTGGTGTAATGTCAAACAGTAATACTAAACCACTCTCTATTACAAAGAATTTTCAAAAAAGTAGCAGATCAAAATTTTGTCCTGAGTATATATGGCATGACTTTTCTGATTGCTCTTCTACAAATAACTCAATTGGCTACAAATAACTCACTTAAGTGGAAAATGTTTTCTAACTAAAAAGAAAATGCTTATTAAAAGTGAAAGTTTTTAAAGGTTTCTTCATTTCCAAATGAATTCTGACATACTAAATTTATCCTATAATGTGGGTTTGAATTAAGAGCTATGATATAAAAACACTTATCTGTATATTTTAAAATACTAAAATATTTTTAAGAGGATCTGCTTTTTAAAATAATTCAAAGTTTAATTTCTTTCTTAAACTATTACTTTATGTTTCTTGGAATAAAAGTTTTAGCACTACATGACTCTAGCCACAAAATGTTATCCTTTTCTGATGTATTGACTTTAAATGGAGTGGACTACATTGAAGATTTACTTTTTCATGTATTCTGATACCTTACAGAGTTGTATTTTGGTAGAGTGGATCAAACAGTCCCTTCTATTGCTCAATTTGCCATGGACAAGTGCAGTATTAAAATTGGGGAATGGGTCTTGTTGGGTCACTGATTCAACTAAAAGGGGTATTAATTCTGGCACATTTAAATTCTTCACATGTAAATATGAAGAGTAGGGTGGCTGCGTAGGGGAGAGGGGCACTCATTCGTTTTGCCTTAGTGAGATTTAAGCAGCCAACTTATAGAACAGGTATTATTATCAATAAAGCTTTTGAGAAACAAACCAAAACACAAACAAACAAACTTGGGACAAAGGAAGGGCAAGCTGTTTACATAATTGAAGGCAAACAATTCTGGAGCAGTTGTTCAAGAGTTCAAAGAGAAAGGAACCTCAGGCAGGGGCTACTGACCACAGTTCAACAGGGATCAGAGTTGAGCTGGAGGAGAGCTATGGCTTTTGTTTTGTCCCCGTTATTGTTTTGGGTATGACTGGGAGTTTAATGATGTTGGCACAAGGCCTGAAATGCAATTTGCTATTTTTATTACTCTGTCAATATGGCACATTAAGGTCCTCAATACTCTTCAACAAATGCAAAAGGATAAAACCTTTTTTCTATCAACGACTATGGAAATTAAAACAGAAAATGTCTAAAGCATGTTTCTCAATACCACAGTGTAAATTAAAGCTTTTGAGTTAGTCTAACTTATTAAAACTGTGATTAAAAACCTAAATTATATAGAGATATACGGTTTTTAGGATTGCCTCTAGAGAATTTTTTCAGCAGTGGCCTTTTGTTCTTTGCTTCTATACTCTAAAGGCAAAATGCTAAAAGGGAAGACAAGAACTTGTTCTTATAAAACATTTGCCACTTTGTTTCAGGCTGAGGATAAACAAAGTATAGTTAACTAATAATCAGAGGTCAGCTAAAAGTGAAACAATTAGATAAGAATGGAAAGGGTGAAATATAATTTACAGTTTTGATACCACCACTGCCTTTTACTTCTTACCCTTAATGATGACATATTAAAAATACTGGTATGCATTAAATAAAAAAATTTAACTCAGCCATTACATGACAAAAGCCCTCAAGTTTAAAGAATAACATTTTTTCAGAAATGTTTTCTTTTTAAATCTCAGATGTTATCAAATTATATCAGGCAAAGTAATTTTGAAAATTGCTTGTAATTGAGGCAAATGTGTGGTTTTTGCCCAAATTTTCCACATAATTACTCTAATTCTTTACTTGGCTCTTCTTTAAAATCCTAGCATAACAGCATTTTAGGATATGTTTTTTTGAAAAAACGCCTAAAGCCTTTGAAATTTAATTTAAGTAGTGTTCTGGGTTTCGTTAAACTGGTAGAGTTTACCAGTAATTTAAATGCATGATGGTTATGAATTAGAGTTACTGAAGTGATTAGCAATGTTATTATTAGGTTACATTGCTTGCTGTTGCAAAGAATCTGAATTCTCCTTGTCAATCCCCAACTAGAGTTAATCCCTTCATATGTGCTAACCCTATCAATTTACTCTGGTTCATAGAAATCTCAGATGATTGCATTGTGTTTTGTTTGTTGTGTGCTTGTTAGTTAATTTCCATACTGCCAGTCGCAATAGTCTTTAGAACAGTAGGAAAATTTTTCTGTGATGGGCCAGGCAGTAAATGTTTCATGCTTTGCAGGTGATATGGTCTTTTTGCTACTATTCAACTTAGCTGTGTGGCAAAAGCAACAACAGGTGATACATTTAAAAAAAAATGAGTATGAATGTGGTCTAATAAAACTTTATTTATAAAAGCATCAGGCCAGATGGATTTGGCCTACAAGTCCTAGTTTGCTGAAAACTGCTTTAGCCTTCATAAACTTCATCAAAGCAGGGACAATAATTAATAATTTGTATAATTTAGTTTTTAAAAATAAGTGGTATGTGTAAGGTTCCTGATCCCTTATTCATTATTGGCAGAATAAAGATGTCACTCACCTGTGGCAACTTGGCCAATGAAGTGTGTATATGGTAAGTGAGAAAAATAATTCCTGATATTTATTGATTATCATGTATCAAGTGTGATTTTAAGTGCCATTATAAGTACTATCTCTTTAGCTATTCACCCCAGCACAGACACACAAAAACAAAAACTGTATATAAAATATTTAGCTAATGTCTAACATAATACCCAAAAATTCCACTTATCAATGCTTTGGATTATGTTTAAATTATAATTGCAATAGTAATAATAACATGGAGATCTGTAGTGATTACTGAATACCCTAATCTCTTTTCTGAATCTTTTATGTATACTAATTATACACTCCCAAAAACCATATAAGATACAATTTATTATTAAATAGATTTTACAGAAAAAAAATAGCTGAATAACAAGGTCCCTAAGTTCACATGACTAACAAGTTGCGGGATCAGGTTTGAACAGAGCAGTCTGGTATCATTAAAACATATTTGCTATGTTGATTCAAGCTTTCTGTGTGGTAACCATTGGAATTTATAACAAAAACCATTACTGTGTTTTTGCTATTTAACTTTAAATTTTAAATATTAACCTGTATAGACAATCAAAAAAATTAAATGTTTAATATTCCTTACCCTGGAATATTCATACAATATTTGGAAATATACAGCATTAGAAAATTAGCTAAATATAGTATACTTTATCACTAAGATGGAATAATATGAAACCACTAAACATAATTTAGTAGCAGAATATTTATTGACATGGGAAAAGTATTTACCGTGCGTTTAAAATCAGAATAAATAGCTTACAAATAATATATTATTTCACTTACATAAAATATATACACAGGTGGTATGTTCGTAAATGTTTAACCAATGGCTTACCAGGAGAGGAACAAAGCTGCATGTGTAAATATCTTAACATGACCAATTTCAAACTAATGTAAAGTCTGGGAAGCTACCAGATGTGGAGAGAGGTACACACAATTGGCTCTTGCAAGCCATTGTGAGCTGGCCCCAGCACCCACAGATACACACTAAATGAAAGTGCAGGTAGTCTCTGAATGGTGGCATAATAGCGGCCTTAGTTTGAATTATCTAAAAAGTAATTGTTAAGGTTAGTTTAAATGTGCAAGAAGCTCATGGAGGAGAAGTCTGTGAAGGATGAAAGGGGAGATAGCTGGAGAAGTCAAGAAGAGTCTTCAAGACCATGAGGCCGTCTACACCAGTGCAACAAAAGAAGAAATAATCAGGCAGGAGGATCCTCAGACCCCAGACTTCAACACAGGTCTGAGAAAATCTTTGCTAGGCCAATGGGAAACTCCAAAGTGAAAGTTGTTTTTTAGAGGATACCTATGTCATGCAAGAACGCCAGTACTAATATTCAGGTTGGGCTCAGGCATTGCCTGGAGCAGCTGGATAAAGCATGGCTTGCTTGAATGAATGTGGAGGTGGAGTCAAAGAGGACACACTTCTACAAAAATCATCCACAAAAAGGGAAGAAGTTTTTCCCTTTTTATCTTTCCATTATTGCTGTTTATGTTATATAACCTATTGATTTTTCAGTAAAATAAATATTTTAATTGTTAAAAATTCAAGTTTCAAATAATATTTACTATTCATGTAATATTGACTGTGTATCATACACTGTATGATTTTTCTCTTTATAATAAGTAACCATTACCTATGTCTTCACATTTAATTTTTCATTTTTTAATTTTTTTGAGACAAGGTCTTGCTCTGTCACCCAGGCTGGAGCACAGTGGCGTGATCATGGCTCACTGCAGCCTCAACCTCCCTCCAGGACTCAAGTGATCCTCCCACCTCAGCTTTCCAAGTAGTTGGGACTACAGGTGCACACTACCACACCAGCTAATTTTTGTATTTTTTTAAGAGATAGGATCTCCCTATGTTGTCCAGACTGGTATCCAACTTCTGGGCTCAAAGGATCCTTTTTCCTCAGCCTCCAAAACTGCTGGGACTATAGGCATGAGCCAAGGTGCCCAGTCCTCATAGTTTATAAGAACTTTCATATATATTTTAATATTTTGCTGAATAATTTTATGAAATGAGTAATATAGCTGCTCCCCATATTTATGAGAAGGGAGTACTATACACTGGGGTCTATTGGAGAAAATAGGGGAGGGACAGCGGGGCGGGGGGAGCTGGGGAGGGATAGCATGGGGAGAAATGCCAAATGTGGATGAAGGGGTGGAAGGCAGCAAAACACACTGCCATGTATGTACCTATGCAACTATCTTGCGTGTTCTGCACATGTACCCCAAAACCTAAAACGCAATTAAAAAATAAATAAATAAATAAATAAAAGAACTAAAACAGATTTACAAGAAATAAAACAAACAAACCCATTCAAAAGTGGGCAAAGTATATGAACAGACACTTCTCAAAAGGAAACATATATGAGGCCAACAAAAATATGAAAAAATGCTCATCATCAATGGTCATTAGAGAAATGCAAATCTAAACTACATTGAGATACCATCTCATACCCGTTAGAATGGCGATCATTAAAAAATCTGGAGACAACAGATGCTGGAGAGGATGTGGAGAAATAGGAACACTTTTACACTGTTGGTGGGAGTGTAAATTAGTTCAACCATTGTGGAAGACAGTGTGGCGATTCTTCAAGGACCTAGAAATAGAAATTCCATTTGACCCAGTAATCACATTACTGGGTATATATCCAAAGGATTATAAATCATTCTATTATAAGGACACATGCACACGAATGTTCATTGCAGCACTGTTTACAATAGCAAAGACCTGGAACCAACTCAAATGCCCATGGATGCTAGACTGGACAGGGAAAATGTGGCACATATACACCATGAAATACCATGCAGCCATAAAAAACGATGAGTTCATGTCCTTTGTAGGGTCATGGATGAACCTGGAAACCATCATTCTCAGCAAACTGACACAGGAACAGAGAATCAAGCACCACATGTTCTCACTCACAGGCAGGTGTTGAACAATCAGAACATATGGACACAAGGAGGGGAGCATCACACCTTGAGGTCTGTGGGCATGGACTAGAGGAGGAACACTGCGGGGTAGGGAGTTGGGGAGGGATAATATGGGAGAAATGCCAGATATAGGTGATGGGGATGGAGTCAGCAAACCACATTGCCATATATGTACCTATGCAACAATCCTGCATGTTCTTTACATATACCCCAGAACCTAAAATGCAATAAAATACATATTAACAAAAAAAAGAAAAACAAACAAAACACTGTGACTCTTCTAGTGTGGCTGAACAAATAAATATTCAAACACAAGAAGCTGGGTTCTGGATATCTTGATGCTTTTCATGATTTAAAAATAATGGCAATGCCCATCCTGTCCTCAATTTGTTTGATATACATTATTGTGATTTTGGTATTAGTAATAAGAGGCAGCCCAGGGTAATAATTAGGAACATGGCCTCTGGAGCCAGGCTGCCTGGGTTTGAAACTTAGCCCTGTTATTTACTAACTCTGTGACCTTAGGCTAAGTCACAAAATCTGTCTAGGCTTCAGTAATCACATCCTTTAATGGTGATGATGATAGTACCAACTTCATAGGATTAGTGTAAGCATTAGATACTTGTAAATGCCTGCAAAACACTTAGACTTGTAAATACCTGTAGTATTTTGTAAAATGCCCAGCACAGAGTAACTCTTATACAGTTGTAATATTATTACATAATAGATAAAAACCCTACATTTTAGAAATATTAAAAAATTCTTCCAAGGTAAAGGAAATAAACACATTTATTATGACTTTTAAAAATGAAAGAATCAGCAGAGGCTACTTAGTGAAGTACAATATGCTAATGAGCCATGCAACCTTGGCCGGCATGTTCCCCCTCTGGACCTTAATTTCCTCATCTGTGCAATGGTGTGTTTGTACTAGACAGTCTCCAAAGTGTTTCCTGGGTCTATGGCTTTACGGCTTTTAAGGATTTAATTTGCTATCATTAAACCCCGAAGAATAAAAAAGATTTTATTTTGACCTTTTGTTTCAGGGTGAAATAATCTACAAAATACTTAATATAAATTCTGAAAGATCACAAGTACCAAGATTTTTGTGATTATTACATTTCTCAAAACCACAAATAGCATAAAAGGAAGTCATTTCAAGTTAGTGTTAAAGATTCGAGGTTATGTAAGATAATTTGATTGTTTTAAATTAAAATAAATTACATTTGCAGTTTTTACTTGCAAGTGAGTTCAGGAATTTCTTTAGAAATTTGCAGTTCAACATCTTTAAAAAGTGTTGAAAATGGCCACTTTAGATAGGAAAACTCTTGGAAAAGCTGTGTGAACCTTTGCTTTCATTATGTATTTTTTGAGTCAGGTATAAAAGCAGTGGGTACCATAGCAATATTGATAAGAGTCATAATGGTAAAAATACTATCATTCGATCTTTCAACTTTGTTATTCATGTGACATTGAATTATTTCTAACCCAATTAGCTTAATTATTAGGACAGACTGTAGGTAGGACCAAAGTTTTGAATTCATAGCATGATAATAACAAAGTGATATTATTGATGAAACATAAATAGCATAGATTAATTCCATTAATAGGCTTAATTAACTGTAAGCTAGACAGTGTACATGTGTCATCATTGAAATCTTGCAGAGGCTCCTATACAAAGTCTTCTTGTTTTCTCCATTTCCCGGAGAAGGATATCGAGTCATCTCAGAAACCATGTTATTTAATAATAGCTAATAGCTCTTATTTTTTTATTATTTCTATATATTCTGTTAAGCATTGCATGTTACAATGAGTAGCAGGGTATTTTTATGTTGTGTAACCTGTATATTCTGTTAAGCGTTGCATGTTATAATGAATAGCAGGATATTTTTCTGAAGAGAGTATCATTGAAAACATACAGACTGGACTTCCATCTATATCTTTGCCTCAGGACTTTCTCTGGAACCAGAGCCCACTCAGCTGGGATGGAATTACCTAAATATTAGTGGACATGCATGGGCACACACATGTGTATACACACACACACAAACACATATACACACACACACAGTCCAACATCCTTCCACTTGTTCAATACAGCAGATTTAAGCTCTAGCAGCCTTCAGTGATGTTTGCTTGATACTGCAAACTTCATTAGCCATCTTCCTCTCTCAGTCTCACTTCACTTGTCTCCACCAGACTTTCCTGGAATTGCCACCATGATAAATTTCTTGTGTTAGGATCCTTGTCACTGATTGTTCTTCTGGTGGAATCCAAAACAACACACCATGCTATTTAATCCTTATAAGAATTGAGGAATAGATGTTATTTCCTCAATTTTTCAGAAGGTGAAATGAGGCTTAAGGAGATTAAGTAATTGTACCCAAACCACACAGATGTTAGGAAGACCTATGGTCACAATCCTTTTATAAAGTTCTAGAATCTAAGATCTTGAACTCTATCTTACTCCACATTTTGAGTAAATGGATTGAAATTCTGTATCTGAAAAAGGACAACTAAATCACCATTATTGTATAAGAGATACTTCAAAACACGACCTACCTACATTGCTCTAACTACAAAAATAAAAAGAAGCATATTTAATCGTCTAAAAGCCAATATATTTTGTTGCATCTGATTGCAGCTATTATTTCACTAATAATCAGTATTCTTCATAGCATAATGCAAACCTTTTATTCTTATTTGCTGACAAAAATCTAAGGCAGAAATCTATTTTTCTTAAATATTGTGGAAGTCTGGTGTAGTTTTTCTTATCTAATATTGGAATGCTACTCATAAAATTGAAAAATATGACCCATTCTCCTTAAAATTTAGTTGAAGCCAAAGAAGTATGAGTACCAAAAACTAAAACAAACTACACCAGAAGGAAACTATAAAAACAGATCACTTTTCAACATTTCACTAAGAACATGCAACAAATTCTAGAGAATAACTCCTCCTTTCTTTCCTTGTTAATTTCAATAAACGGTGTCTCAAAAGTAATAAAATGTGTTTACTGGTGAATTTACGATTGCACTGTTCATGTTCTACCAAAGTTAACTTCGGGAAACATTGAAAACAAAATGTATAAATGGTTGAGCAGATTATACATTGGTGTCAAATTTAAAGTTTTGGTCTCTAAATTCACAAACCATTCCCTTGAACTACACTGTGTTATTTAGAATAGAAATATTGCTCTTTTAATGGTTAATATTTCAAAGTACGTAGGATGACATGCTGTTTCTACCTTTTTTTCTTTGCCAATTTCAACAAATGAATAATATTAAAAATTCAAACAGCATAGCTGGAAAGACGTTAAAGAAGAGTTGAGAACAAATTGATTCTATATGTTTAGATTGATTTGGATGACTGCTGATGGTAGGGATTCTCTGTTTCTTTAAGGGTGACTGCTAGAACTCTACTTTGTTTCGTTTGATATACTTTTTCTTTCTTCAACTATTTTCTTTAAGTTCTTTTCATATGGTCGGGCACGGTGGCTCAAGCCTGTAATCCCAGCACTTTGGGAGGCTGAGGCGGGTGGATCACAAGATCAAGAGATCGAGACCATCTTGGTCAACATGGTGAGACCCGTCTCTACTAAAAATACAAAATATTAGCTGAGCATGGTGGTGCGTGCCTGTAGTCCCAGCTACTCGGGAGGCTGAGGCAGGAGAATTGCCTGAATCCAGGAGGTGGCGGTTGCAGTGAGCCGAGATCGCGCCATTGCACTCCCGCCTGGGTAACAAGAGCGAAACTCCGTCTCAAAAAAAAAAAAAAGTTATTTTCATATATATGTGTGTGTATATATGTATATGTGTGTATGTGTATATATGTATATATATATGTGTGTATATATGTATATATGTAAATATATGTGTATATATATATGCACACCCACACATATATATACCTATATCTATATATAGAGATAGAGTAATTCTGGCACCAAATATAATTTTAAAATGCTTTAGAGGTTTTATTTATTTTTATATATTCAGAATAATCCAGGTAATATTAAAAATTATATTTTTTAAGTTATATTTATATTTATATAAATAATATTTATAGTATATTTTATTATATAATAAAATGTTTTATTTTGTCAAAAATTATATTGGACGTATAAATAATAAATCTGCACTGTTAAAATGAATATTTCTATTGTTTTGCAGGTGGTAATAGTAATACAATAAAATATGCATATCGTAGTGAGTAATTTGATACATTTTTATATATGTATATACCCACAAAACATATAAGTGTGCAAGTATTTGTATACACACACACACATATATATACATCCAAAAAACCAACACTACAGTCACTAATATGAAAATATCAATCATACCAAAGGTATTATAGTCCTTTGGAATCTCTCACTTCTATCAATCTCCAAATCTTCTTCTTTAATATCCAGACAACCATTGAACTGCATTTTATTTTCTGGAATTGTATACAAATGAAATTACATAATCTTTTAAATTTGGCTTCTTTTACTCGGTGTAATTATTTAGAAATTACTCCATATGTAGTATGTATCGTTATTTTCATTGCTAAGTAACAGTTCATTGTATGTGTATACTGCAATTTGTTTATTCTTGTACCTGTTGATGCACATGAGTGTTGATGGACTTGTTAATAGACATATGAGCCTTGATGGGCATATGAGTGTCAATGGACATATGAATGTTGATGGACCTGTTGATGCACATATGAATGCTGATGGACATATGTGTTGATGGACATATGAGTGTTGATAAACCTGTTGATGGACATATGATTTGTTTTGGTTAATAAAATATGTGTTGCTATGATTAGTTGTGTGCAACTATTTATTTCAGTTTACTAATTCTTCCTTTTCTGCCTTTTGTGGCCTTAATTCAGTAGTTTTAAAAAATATTATTTTATCTTCTTTGTTGGCTTAACTGTAATTTTTTGTTTATTTGTAGTCATTGTGTTAAGATTTATAGCATATACTTTTAACTTATCACAATAGAATTATACCACTTCACATGTAATAAAAGAGCTTTACAATAGGTTTTCCTTCACATGGTATTAATTCCAGTCTACATTGTTATTATTATGGCTTTAAACAGTAATTTTGAAACTCTGAAATGTTTAGTAAAATTTTTGTAAAATTTCAGTAACTAAAAAACAGTAGGCCCAGTGCCATGACTCACACCCTGAATTTTAGGAGGCTTAACTGGGTGGATTAGGTCAGTCTAGGAGTTCCAAACCAGCTGGGGCAACGTGGTAAAACCCTGTTTCTATAAAAAATCAAAAAAATTAGCCAACCATGGTAGCGTGTGCCTGTAGTCATACTTACTTGGGAAGATGAGGCAGGAGGCTTGCTTGGCCCCAGGAGGTTGAGTATGCAGTGAGTGGTGATCGTATGGCACTGCACCCCCAGCAGAAATGACAGGCAAGACCCTGCCTCAAAAAAACAAAACAAAACAGTAATCAAAAAATAAAGAAAAACAAAGAATATTTCATTTGATCATCTGATATGATTTCCCTCTGTAAGAAATACATTATTTAATATTTACTATAATTCAAATATGCTAAGGATAAACTATTTCACTTTTTACATGTCTGAAAAATCTTTAGTTCACATTTAAAAAAATTTATTTTCCTTTAATATAGAATTTTAAAGTTTATGGCATTTTTAATTATTAGTTTTTGTGGTTGTTTTATCTTTCGACACTTTATTGTTCCACTCTCTTCTAGCTTGCATTTTTTAGTGTAGGAAGTCAGCGTCATTGTTCTCTTCTTTCATATGTATGTAATTTCTTCCTGATCCTTGTGCTTGCAGTTTATTGAGCTTCTTTCATGTATGGGTTTATTGTTTTCATGAAATACGGAAAAATATTGGTCATCATTGAAAATACTTTTACTGCCCCCTTATCCTCCCTAGGTGCCAGTTACTTGTATATTTATTCCACTCCTTGAAGTTGTCCCACAATTTACTGATGCTCTCCTCACTTTTTATTTTCATTATTTTCCCTCTGCATTTAATTTTGACATGTTCAGTAATCTTTACTTTTACAATGTATAACCTGTGAATGTCACTTGTGTATTTTTTATCCAATATGCTGTACAAATTAAATTTAGATTTATTGTAAAAGATCATTTCTGTCTCCTTAATATGATCAATCTTTCCCCTGCCTTCTTGAATGTATGAAATATATATATATATAACAACTTATTAGTCTGATGTATTACTGCTATAATCTGTTTTTTTTTGTGCCTGTTTCAAATGATTGATTTTTATTCTCATTTTGAGTTGTATTTTCCTGTCCCTTTGCATGCCTGATGATGTTTAAATGGATCCCAGATATATTGAAGTTTACTTTGATATTAAATTTATTTGATGCTGAGTATTTTTGCATTGCTATAAGTATTTCTGGATGTTGTTTTTGGATGCAATTAAGTATTTTGAAAAGAGTCTGATGTCTGAGCAGTGGTTCCCAACTGGAGATGTTTCTGATGCCCCCTCAGGGACATTTGTCATTTTCTGGAAACATATTTGGTTGTCTTAAATAGTGAGGTTGCTTGCCAGTGGCATTTAGTGAATAGAGAGCAGAGATGCTGCTAAATACAATACATAAAACAGCCCCCTCAAAGAATTATCCCATCCAAAATGTTGATAGGGTCACTTGGGAAACCATGCTTGAGAGGCATTATTTTTTGTTTTTAATTTTGTTTTTATTATTATACTTTAAGTTCTGGGGTACATGTACAGATTGTGCAAGACTGTTAATAGGGTCACTATTGGGAAACCATGCTTGACAGGCTTTCTTCTTTTAAAAATTATTATTATACTTTAAGATCTGGGGTACATGTGCAGATAGTGCAGGACTGTTGCATAGGTATACACACGCCATGGTGGATTGTTGCATCAATCCCCCTGTCATCTACATTAAATGTTTCTCGTAATGTTATTCTCCCCCAATTTCCCCACTCCCTGCTATCCCTCTCCTAGAACCTCCTCCCCACAACAGGCCCTGGTGTGATATTCCCCTCCCTGTGTCCATGTGTTCTCATTGTTCAACACACACTTATGAGTGAGAACACCTGGTGTTTGGTTTTCTGTTCTTGTGTGAGTTTGCTGAGAATGATGGTTTCCAATTTTATGCATGTCCCTGCAAAGAACATCAACTCATCCTTTTTCATGGCTGCGTAGTATTCCATGATGTATATGTGCCACATTTTCTTTCTAATCTATCAGTGAGGGGCATTTGGATTGGTTCCAAGTCTTTGCTATTGTAAACAGTGCTGCATTGAACATATGTGTGCATATGTGTCTTTAGAATAGAACGATTTATAATCCTCTGGGTACATACCCACTAATGGGATTGCTGGGTCAAATGGTATTTATATTTCTAGATCCTGGGGGAAAATGATCAACTCAATGAAATAAAATGAGAAGGAAAGACTAAAGAAAAAAGAGTGAAAAGAAATGAAGACAGCCTCCAAGGAATATGGGATTATGTGAAAATACCAAATCTATGTTTGATTGGTATACCTGAATGTGACAGGGAAAATGAAACCAAGTTGGAAAACACTCTTCAGGATATTATCCAAGAGAACTTTCCCAACCTAGGAAGGCAGGCCAACATTCAACTTCAGGAAATACAGAGACCGTCATAAATGTGTTCCTCAAGAAGAGCAACCCCAAGACACATAAGCATCAGATTCATCAGGGTTAAAATGAAGGAAAAAATGCTAAGGACAGCCAGAGAGAAAGGTTGGGTTACCCACAAAGGGAAGCCCATCAGACTCACAGTGGATTTCTCAGCAGAAACCCTACAAGACTGAATAGAGTGGGGGCCAATATTTAATATCCTTTTAGTAAAGAATTTTCAACCCAGAATTTCATATCCAGCCAAACTAAGCTTCATAAATGAAGGAGAAATAAAATCCTTTATGGACAAGCAATTGCTACCACCAGGTCTGCTTTAAAAGAGCTCCTGAAGAAAACATATATGAAGCCAACGAACATATGAAAAAAACCTCATCATCACTGGTCATTAGAGAAATGTAAATCGAAACCACACTGAGATACCATCTCATGCCAGTTAGAATGGTGATCATTAAAAATCTGAAGAAAACAGATGCTGGAGAGGATGTGGAGAAATAGGAACACTCCTATACAGTTGGTGAGAGTGTAAAGTAATTCAACCATTGTAGAAGACAGTGTGGTGATTTCTCAAGGATCTAGAAATAGAAATTCCATTTGACCCAACAATCTGATTACTGGGTATATACCCAAAGAACTATAAATCATTCTAGTATAAAGACACATGCACATATATGTTCATTGCAGCCCTGTGTACAATAGCAAAGACATGGAACCAACCCAAATGCCCATCAATGATAGACTGGACAAAGAAAATGTGGTACATATATGCCATGGAATACTATGCAGCCATAAAAAAGGATGAGTTTGTGTCCTTTTCAGGGACTTGGATGAATCTGGAAGCCATCATTCTCAGCAAACTGACACAAGAACAGAAAACCAAACACTGCAATTTCTCACTCATATCTGAGTGTTGAACAATGAGAACACATGGACTCAGGGAGAGAAGCATCACACACTGTGGGCAGTTGTAGGGGTAGGGGAGGGACATTGGGGGATGGGGAGGGTGGGAGGGATAACGTGGGGAGAAATGCTAGATATAGTATACACCTAAGGTAAAAAAAATAAAAATTTATAAAAAAAAAGGCTCCTGAAGGAAACACTGAACATGAAAAGGAACAACGAGTACCAGCCACTGCAAAAGTGTACCAAATGGTAAAGACCATCCACACTATGAAGATGCATCGACCAGTGGGCGAAACAACCAGAGAGGCTTTCTTTTAAGTTTTCCTTCATGACACCAGACCAAGCATTTTTTTTTTCTACTAAGGAGACAATACCCTTATGAGTATTCTACCTGACATTTCAAAATGATCAGATTTTTCTAATATGACCTTTGGGGCACAGGCAATTCCTAGCTCTCTATGAGCTCCAGTGAGTTTCCTCACTTTCTTTCATGTTGTTCTTCTCCCCATGATCACATTGTTTTCTCGTACTAATCCTTGGAAACTGTTTAGTTGGACTGAAGAGGGTTACTCTTTGGATTTCCAGAGCTCTGTGTCTACGAGGCTCTCCTCTTGGTCATTCTGTCCTGTTAATTGCAGCCTCCTTGGACTCCAAGGTCTTCCAGCTTCAACTTCTCTGCTCAGGAAGATCACCATGCTCCACCTGCATTCCCGATTTCCAATCCCTCTGTTGTGGTTTGGAAAATCTAACAGGAGGTACGATGGGGCAGGTTGCACTCACATTGTTTCCCCTTTTTCACGGAGCTCTGTTTTCCACTGCCCGTTTTCCTATGTCTGAAAAACCGTTGCATATCTTTTGTCTGAGATATATATATATATATATATATATATATATATATACACATACACACACACACACACATATATATACACACATATATATGTATATATACACACACACATATATATGTATATACATATACATATATATATATATATATATATATATATATATACATATTTTTTTTTTGAGACAGAGTCTCAGTCTGTCACCAGGTGCCAGGCTCAAGTGCAGTGGCACGATCTGGGCTCACTGCAATCTCCGCCTCCTGGATTTAAGCAATTCTCCTGCCTCAGCCTCCTGAGTAGCTGGGACTACAGGCGCGGGCCGCCATGCCCAGCTAATTTTTGTATTTTTAGTAGAGACAGGGTTTCACCATGTTGTCCAGGATGGTCTCGATCCCTTGACCTTGTGATTCGCCCACCTCAGCCTCCCAAAGTGCTGGGATTACAGGTGTGAGCTTGTCTGATATTTTTAGTTGTGTATTCAGAGGGTAAATTTGGTCAGTATTATTCAAATTTGATCAAGAGTTTCTTTTTATCTGTTTTTTAGGTGAGTGATATTCAAAATTGAAATATAAATATACATGTTCTTAGGGAACTGGATTTGATTCATAAATTAAACCATTTTTTTTCTGAAGAGCTCATGATATATTTTAGAAGTAATGTTTTTTATATATAAATAAATATGTTACATTGTTGAGATTAAGTATTACATATTTTCCCTATAATTACAGAGTTAATATGTGTCTTGCAGGAAGAATTTGAACAAATGATTTTTTCCTCACTGATATTTCAGTTTTATATACATAGCAAATGATCAGCCTACAAGTTGATACACAGAATACAGAAATGTGGCCGCTTTATCAAATACATATAATTTCTTCCTCTAGGTCACATCTCTTACATATTTACCAATTATTATAAGATAAAATGTTAACAAAACATGTCTTCCTTTTAAGCTTCAATATTATAGAGCTGTAAAATATATCACTACTTATGAAGTGTTAAAAACAAAGACAGAGGCAGCAGTTTGAATAAAATCT